GCATGCTAACATTTTCTGCTAATGCTAAATCCTTTTCCTACACTTTTGTTATTATATTTATAAATGTTCATTAATTCTTCTTTTGTTTATGTTTTATTTGTACTTTTTTCATATATAAAGCATAATTTGAAATTTCCAGGAAAACTGAATACCTGATAAAGATTGGCAACAGAGACGATGTCGCAAACTATAGAAAGGCTGACCCGGAGCTGATTGATTCTCTTGAAAAATGTGCTGTGGACAAATCCTTTAAACAGTGGAAAAATAAGGTGACTGCAAGATCACAGATCAAATGTCTATGTTCCTAAAATCCACTTCATGACTAATGTGGTTGTTGCAGTTTCCACAAGAGCTGGTTCGGGTGATGGATGGCAAAAAGCCCTACACTGAAAACACGTTGGCATTACTGCGCTTTATACGCAATCTCCATGTGCATTAGTAAGTTAATCTAAATGATTCTATCTCTCTATCTCTCTATCCATACAGTAATAAAACCTTCCTTGTTCACAGTGCCAAGGAAGCATCCCAAATTGATGTTCTGGCATTGTTTCCTGATCTCTTTGGGAGTATTTACACATTTGCAAAGAACCGAGGCTGGAATTTAGAGACACCATTAAAGGAAATGTTTCAAAGAGAAGAAAGAGAGGATATTAGCACAGTTTTGATGATGCCATCTAAAAGCACGGAGGAGTTCCTGGGTGTCCCCGTTCAAGAGTCTCAACCCAGTGAAGTGAAAGTTGTCAGCAGCCATAAAAAATAAAATAACTGCTAGTAGTAGCAGAGATGTCATGTCGGTGTGCCTCCTGCTGCTCTGTTATTTCCCAAAGGATCGCCACAGAAGACACTGATCTGCTGTGGTGATCCACATGTTTGCACATAGTTGTCCTTCCTTACACAACACTCCATTTTCCCAGCACTAACACTGCAGTATCTTCAAGCTAGGTCGGCTCCTTAATGGAGGCACGACCAAGACTCTTAGACTGAACCAGCTAAATGGATTTTAGACACGATGCATAATTTATACTTGTGTGAAATAAGTGCCTGATGTTTTGAAAAAGTAACTATTGATTTTTAAAAGTATGAGAGAAATAGATTACAATTACAATTGTTTAAGTCTCTTTACTCTATTATTTTAATTTTTTTTTATTTTTGTGAGGGTGTGTACTGTATTTATACACAATTACGCTGCTTTTGTTTTTCAGTTTTTTGTGGTTGCTTATTGCTACACTTTATTTGTGCTCAATTCTTTTTCTACAGTAGTACAACATTATATTTTTATTCAGTTAATCTTCAGGTTTAATTCTACATTATATGGGGGGG